CAAATTCATTCTTCTTCTACAGGCCTATGTTCAAAACATTCATAATAATTTTCTAAATCCATGTTAGTGCATATATATATATGAAAAATTGCTGAAGAAATATTGTCAAGGGAACGCTTATCTCAAAGTTAATCCAACTTAGATATAGGAGAAATCACAAAAAAAAAAAAAAAAAACTTTTTAATTGTCAATTCAATGGAAACTACCCAAATTTCAACTTTGGGGGTGTTTGATTGATAATTTTTTTTATAAAAAAATATTTTCTAACTTTAGGTCATTTAATCGTATATTTCTTAAAAATAAGGAAAACATTTTCTTTAAAGAGGAGTGGTTTTTATTTTTCAGATAATTCACTTTCTCTCTCGTCTATCCTCTCTCTCTCATCTAACCATTAATAAAAAAAATAGACAAGTATAATATTTTCTAAGTTGAAAATTATATCAATCAAACACATTTAATTAATAATTTTCATACAAATAATTTCTAAGCAATTGAATTGTCTAGAATTTATTTTTTTCCATACAAATTTCATGTTCACAATTAAATGCACCATTCATTATAAGTAAAAAGTTTAAGCTATGATCTAACTACCAAGTATAATAATGGAATAGAAATAGATAAACAGACTATGAGCCCGTTTGACAAATTTTTTGTTTTTGCTTTTACCTCGTCTTGTTAAAAGAGTTCCACGAATAAATTACCTTTAGATCAGCGTCCTCTAAAACTCTTCTAGCAAGACAAATCATTTTCAGAATATTATCCAAAAAATTTAATGGCCCCTTTGACGTGACTTTTGAAAAATTAAAAGGAGCTTTTGAGGCCCAAAAATAACTCTTGGATCCGTTTGACTAATTTTTTTAAAGTGTTTTTTCTAGATAGAAGGGGTTTTAGGAGAAACTGATCTAGCGTGGCTTCCTTTAAAAGTAATTCTAGAATATGTAATTCTTTTAAAAATTAGTTTTCAAATAAATATTTGCTTCTTCGAGAGGCTCTTCTACAGGAAGTAGAAGCAAAAATAAAAATCATGTCAAATAAGCCTTTAAAAGTTATTCTCAAAAATAGCTTTTGACTTTTCAAAAACATTGCCGAACGAGCCCTAAGAATCTCCATATTAATTTAAACTTGTAGAAATCCATAAATTGTATATTAAAGTAATAAAAAAATCAAAACCACCATGACAAGGGAGTTTGACATACCTTAAGTGTTTTGCCTTGAGTAATAATATAATGGAACAAATTGATTGTATCCTCTCCTACAATCACTCTTCTGCTAGCAGCTACTTAATTTTTTGCAGGAGGACTGAGTCGGATTTATAGAGACTACTTTGCCTAATTTTCATTTGAAAATCACTCAGAGTAGTCAAAGCTCTTTAAGGTACCTGCTTCCTCCTCCTTTCCTTCTCTAACATTTTGCTTATTTTTCCACTAAGAAAATGACTAAACACTCCAAAATATCAATGAAGAAATTTCTTTGATGTGCCTTGTACTGTTTTACTTCAACAAATTCTTTACGTTTAAGTTACAAGGGGCCAGCACCCTGTGATAGGTGGGTGGCCATGTACGTATAGCAAGGCTCTTTTATTTCAATACCAAGAGATCGATCACAATAAATAATAGTTGATTAGGATTGATAGAGCACCGTATTGAAATTGAGGTCCATGCCATTCGCAGACGCGCAAAGATTCAAAGACTCAAAGTACATTTATAAGGTTACAAGCCCACATTATTAATGAAATCTAAGTGTGTGTTTTACTCTGATAACCCCTTCATTTACGTAATTTTTGTGGTAATGTTCTTCTGTTCATCTTGTACTTTATAATACCATGGTACAAAAACATAAATATATGTATAGTAACTGGAATCCTTCGTATTTAGTCATGTCTTTCGTAAAGAAAAGAGAAAAAAATCTGAGCTTTCGCTTGTGTTCATTGCTACTCTATACTTGAGAGTTCCATATGATTAAAACAGAGAACTATAAAAACCTAATGTTTAATGAGAGGCTATGATACCATCTCTGAACTAAAAATTGAATACAATTAAGATAATTTGAACAATTTTTTGTCTATGAATCACAAAGAATATCATATTGATAGGGCAATATAAAAATTTTGTCTCGCTTAAAATCACACTATCATGGAAATAGGAATCGAAAATCCACAATGTAGAAAGAATAATATTATCTAGTTCTACTATCGCTACAGCACCATTCTAAGTAACAACATATGATAAATCCAATTAAATGGACCACATCTATATGCATCTAGCATCTAAATAAATATATTAATTAATGTCACATATGTTGATACCTAGATCAACGGTTAGACAGCATTACTCGTATAGAAATGAAGAAAAAAAGATTATGAACATTCATGCAATTAAAATATAACAACCCGTTTATTTCCCATTATTCGTCAACGAGAATTAATTTCGCGACCCTTTTTTTCCAACACATGGGTCTCATTGTGAGATAGAAAGTCAAAAAAAAAAAAAAAAGGTTGCCGCATTCGCAACGATTGGAATATGTATTAAGGCATGTGTTTGGCACCCATTTTGGGTGTATTATAAATTTTGGAATAGTGATTAATGGAAGAATGTGTGGTTGAAAAATAATGAAAAATTTTTAAATTTGTGTGTAATATTATTTTATTTGAAAAATGTGTGGTTATAATTAAAAAAGAGAAAAACAAATTTTAAAAATTAAAATATATTAAGCCTTTTATTATTATATATAGCCTGTTTAGTGGAGATTAAGTCAATTTTTTAATAGATCTTGATAGAAATTAATGAAATGTTTGATTGAAAAGTTGTGGAATCCATAAAATATGTGACTAAAATTAATTATTGACTTTAACTTAAATTAAAATTTTAATTTTAATCAATAGTTTAATGTCGTTACTTTTATAGTCATAGAAGTTGTACCTCAAAATAGATGCAATGGATTTATTAAAACGCGGCATGTTGTCAAATCAATTTTGACAAGAACAACACCCTTTATCCAATGTGTCTTGTGCGAGTTGACCCACGAACCAACTCGTAAGCAAACCACATATCAACTCATAAAATATTAAAATCTACAAATCAGTTGGCTTAGCTCGGTCCATGGCCCCGTTTGCTGACAAGCTCGAACCACTCATGAGCACTTCAAACTCATTGTTGCACCTAACTAGCAATCAATTTTCTCAATAATTGAGTCTATAGATATGAATTATGTTTAAAAATTATAAAATGTCACTTATTCATGTTGTTCGAAGTAGAACAATAGACAAAAGAGAGAAAGTAAACCAAACATGTGATGTGATCTTGGTGTATGGAAAACACGCTTTGGAAAATTGATTCAAACGAAAGTCACGAGAAAGTAGAAACCTTTATTAAACACGCCTCTTCGTAATTTCTCTTTCCAAAGTCATCGCCTCAATCAGTCGAAGCTTCTGGTGAAAAAGGCAGCCTGCGATTGGTCAATACGCGTATAGACTGAGAAAGAGAGATCCTTTCTATTTTCTGTAGCATTGAAAGCTGCTTGCCTTGGAATTGTTTCCCTTTCTTCTCTAGGTATGTGTTTTTATTGCTTTTGTTTGAATTATTTTCTAGGGTTCAAGATACCTTTTTGTCAGTGTTCGAATTGTGGGATTTAATTTTGAGGTCTTGTAGAGGTTAATTTCTAGGGTTTCTGTTTTTATCTGATGTTTTGGTTTTCTCTTCCTTTTTTTCACATTGGCTTTAAGAGGTCTAATCAGCCATCCGATTGTGTGATTTCTTTTTCAATTGGATGTTGATGTTTTCTGATATAGGGTTTACATATTCTGAGTTTGTATTTGCTATAATTTGGGTTTTATATTTGCAGATTTTGTTGAAATATTGGGGAGAAAAAAAGCTAATTGATTTTGTTCAGTCTAGTGCTGCTGCTGGTTTCTCTCATCAGAAGGTAAGAAACCTGTTTCAAATTTGCATTATATTGTTTTCTAAGTTTAATGTTCGTATATTAATTTTTTATGTAGTATTTGTTTGTGTAACTTCACATATTTCAGAGACAACTAATTAATCAGGTTGATTGAAGGTATCCTAGAAATTTTTTGTCTTGAAATTCTCTAAACACCCCTTGCCCTACGGCCTACTCCTAAGTAAGTAAATGGTCTGGAACTATTTGGAGGAGGGCTATATACACAAATCCTGGTTTAGAAATTCATGCACATTGTTTAGTGGCTAAAAGTTATATGAAATTTCTTATAGTAATTAGCAATAAAGAAAATATAACTGGAGATCCATGATGTGTTAATAGCGGTTGTTATATCCACATGAATGGGAGATTGTGTTGGTTATTACTTATTAAAGAAATTACACACATCCATAATGTCTACACCAATTGAAGAATGCAATTGAATTTATGATGAAGTTGATAGTGGAGGTTTAATAATTTCCATTACGGGTTATATACGATGAAGTTGATAATGAAGTTTTATTAATTTCCATTAAGGGTTATACAGAAAAGTGATTTGGCGTGTGCGAATTATGTTAACATCCCATTCTTATCTTTCTTTTAGGCTAAAAAAGTGCTCATTGGCTATCTTTTTTATCTGGAATGACTTGATGAGTTAATTTGTGAACGAGTATAAACGCTCTGCATAATTTCTTGTCATCTGCATGAATTTAGCTTTTCCTGACTGAAGTGATGCAAAAAAATTAAATAACTGTGTTTTGTATGCTGCCCATCTCAAAATTCCTCATTTAAGTCAAAAGTTATGTTCTCATCATCACTGCTATTCACTTGTTCATGATGCTACTTTGATAATTTTATCGCTAATAAGTTTCTGTTTCATTCCCCATGGTTTTTTTTTTTTTTTTGTTCTTGATTCTTTTTTCAATTTGCTTTATGTTTCTTTTTTGTTTTTTTTACGTATTGTCCTTATAGTGGTGGAAGAACTAACATTGTTTCATTCTCTTCTTTGAGATGAACTTCTGGTCATCATCATACCAAATGCAGGTAGAGTTGTGTTTTACATCTAAATGGATGCCAAAAAATTTATGCAGTTGGTTGAGGAGAAAAAGAAGAGAGTTTTGGCAAAGAGAGAAGCCCCCTTGAAATGGGAGCAGAAACTTGAAGCTGCTGCCAAGGCAAAAGCTGATGCTGAAGCCAAAGAGAGGAACGCCAAGGCTGCTAAGCACAAGATAAGATCTGTATCAGGGTCAGATAGCAATAGTGACACTGATAGTGGTGATGAGGAGAGAAAGAGGACTAAAAAATCCCGCAAGAAGCGAAGAAAGCACAACCATTCCGACTCAGGCGACCATGAAAAGATTAAGGTTAAGAGATCCAAGCGCAAGCCTGGGAGACATTATAGCAGTGATCAATATGATAGCGATTCAGAAGAGGAGATGAAGAAGCATGACCACAAGAAACACAGGCATGATCATACAAGTTCCGGTTCTAGTGCCTCAGATTCTTCAAGTGATGAGAATGATTATACTGTCAGAAAAAGTAACCGGACAAAGCATCACAAACATCATCGGCGGATTAAGTCTGGACAGCCAGAATCCTCAAGTGATGATGATGATGATGCAACCAGAAAAAGAAGCCATGCAAAGCATCGTAAACATCACAGACTGGTACACTTAAGTTCAGATTTTTCCAGCGACGAGGGGGCTAAGAGAAGGAAGAATCATGCAAAGCACTACAAATCTCATCGCCAATCCGACGATCACGACTCTTCAGATTATTATGAACGCATACGTGGCAGGAGGAGCAAGCGGAGCAGATCTGTGGGGAAGTCATCTGATGACAATGATGAAACAGGTAAAGAAAAGCACAGGAGTCGTCATCATCATCGACATGGTCATCCCCATCATCATCACAAGAATGGACAGTGCCATACTATTGAGCTGCAAGAGGATAATGATCCAGGTCAGCATCCTGCAGAAGCCAATGCAAACGTATAGAACATGCTTCTGCGGAGTCAAATATGAACGGTCGTATCGATCAAAATGGTCAAACCCCTTAAATTCTTTAAACAGAATTACTGCTCTGATTTAATTTGTTCTGTGGTGTTAGACGTTGTACCCTGACTTAGAGATGATGACTGCCTTTTATTGTTTCCATTGTTTACTGGATGACAAAAACCAATTCAGGACTATAATTGAATTGTGTTAACGTGCGATCTCTGAATTCGAGCTTTAATCTATTAGTGCATATTGTTGCCACTGCTGATGCTTTTAAGCACTGAAAAGAACACATCTGATGATATTGCTCGAAAAAATCCGTATACTTTTCCCAGAATCATTTTCTCACTCAACAATTAACCCAACAAGTCGTGTTTTGGTTGATAACAACTGATGTTTTCAACAAATCAGCTCATGCCATGTATTTTTGTGATGCTTTGTAAAGCCGAAGGATCAATTTTTCCTTGGGTCGAAGGAAATTGGTCACAAAACTGTGTCAAGCTAAAAATTGTTTTCCTTCCACAAAAGTATATGGTAGATTTATGGCAGTGAAACGAGAATATTGGCGAATTTGTTTGTGTTAACATGAGCTTCCGGTCGGTAAAATGAGTTCTTTTAGCCCCATTCTCGCTCTGCCTCCAAGAGCGGGCCATATCTTATACACTGCTGCCAATGGTCCTCCTCGAGAATCATCTAGATTTTTCATTTGATCTCAACTTGCCAATCCAAATAGTAACAGAACTTGGGACATAACTCCATAAACTGTCCTCCTTTTTGGAATATTAATTACCCATTAAGACCCTTAACAATGAAATCTAAGTAGGCCTGCCAATTAAGTTAGTCGTAGACATATTTTAGTTAATGGTAGATATACCAAGTTATCGTTGCAAACCCAGAGCAAAACCATTTTTCAAGAGGAATTCTAGTCGAAAATAATTGTCAAACATAAATTAAATTATAAATACAGAATGACCTAGACGAACACGATGTCAATTGAACGATGGAAATGCAATTCTGAGTTTATAGAATGCAAAATTGCAGTCTTTTCTTTCCATGAAATAAATTTATAAGATGAGTGTTCACATTCTACCATCATCAAATAGGACTATAATTTTCATAAAAATTGGTTTAACTTAAAATGCATCCTTTACCTACTCTGATTGAAAGTTGCAACATCTGTAAGGTGTAGCAAAAATTGGTTTTATTTTGTAGCTTTAAACTGAGCTAATTGAGTCTCAGCAGCTCAAAATGAATGAATGAGTGGAGTAATTACAATAATACAACATTGCAACCTCCAAAATTATGGTTATCAGAAGTTCTTTAGAATCTTCTCGCTTGATACACCATCACCCACAAGAATAGAAGTAACCTCCTGTAAGAAACAGACATCAGGGTCATTATCCTACACTACACAAATCAATAACTGGAATTTTGATCATTTTAGGAACATAAAAAATACACAAAACTACAAAAGTATCATTTCTTCTCTCTCTAATGTAAGAGAAATAGAACATAGAATCTGGTAATTCGCAGGTAAGATAATAAGATTACACATCACCATTACAAGTTACAGAGAGACTGAATACTGCAATATTTACACACACAACCAGCTAACATGCTCGCTCACTAGAGGCTCACAGCCACTTCCTTTGACTATGTTAAAAGCCAATTGAGACTAGTGACAAACAAATACTGAGAGTAGCTAATTCAAAACCATGAGCAGAAGTAGATCTCACGTCATCAATAACAGAACTTCCACTTTCAGAATGTAAAAGCAAAAGCATTGAATTCGCCTTTAAGAAACAAATTAAATCCTTCAGCAACAGAAAAGTTAAATTTTAAGTTTTTGGTATAAGACCATCTTCTTTCATTAGTTCTATGCTGTAATGGAACTCATTAACCCCAAATAGGCTTTGCATCCCAAGGAAAAAAAAAAAAAAGAAGTAAAGAAATGAAAAAGCCATGAAACCTAGAATATTTGAAAAGAAAATAAAAGTAAATCAACTTCATAGTGGACATGAAGAGTATTAGTAAAGCCAATTATATAGATTCAAACTAGGGATGTTAGGGTTGGCTCGGCCCCACTGGGCAAGTTGGCTCGTGTTCTCTTTGGGGAGAGCCAAACACGTGCCGACTTGTTTAAAAAAATTCTGGCTCAACCTGTGTATGGGTGGGCTGGGCTGTTCACTCCATTATTTTTATTTTATTTTTAAATCAACATCTTGTTTCTTTTTTTGAAGTAAAAAAATCAAAATCACAATCAGGGCTGCCTGAATATGGAAGGTGCATCATATCAGCTGCAAAAAGCAGCCACCTATCATATTAGTTGCTGCTTTGCAGCACCAATGTTGTGGGCTCGTGGGAAAATGTCAGCTCGGCTAGCCCCGTGACTTGCTTCCAGGGTGAGCCGGCGAGTGGCTTGCCCCATTTGACATCCCTAAGTTAAACTGCCTCTAGGATTATGTGTGCGCACGCATGCACCCTTCTGTGAGATAGGCCTACAGTCATTTTAATCCTTTGTTCTGGCTACCATATTAACTTAGATATGGCTAGGCCAGCCTATACACTCTCCATGAATACATTAAGGGCCCGTTCGGTAGGGATTAAAATCAGATTAAAATTGAAAAAATAGCCGTCATTGTTGACTTTTATGAGACGAGTGGGACCCAATAACGACGATATTTTCAATTTTAATNCTCTAAAATTGAAAAAATAGCCGTCATTGTTGACTTTTATGAGACGAGTGGGACCCAATAACGACGATATTTTCAATTTTAATTGGATTTTAATCCCTACCGAACGGGGCCTAAATCTTGAACCTTTAGTAGTAACAGGCCAGATTTCGAGTCACGTGCAGAGTGGAGATTAAAAAATTATAGCCAACACCAAAGTTCTACAAAACAGCCTTAAAATGAGATGGGAAAGGCAAACGGAAGATTTCAAAACACAGCCAAGCATGCAACCAGCTAGGCCGAACAACTGTAGAAAATCATATACAGCGCATGATATGTATCTAGAAATTACTAAAACTTAAAAATTGTTGGCATTGAACAACAACAAACCTCTGTCATCTGTTTTTGTCCACAAAGCACTGCCCCAGTAGACTGGGGGCCGAAGATTCTTTTGGCTCTAGCAAATGCAGCCTGCAAAAGCTGTGGTATGAGCACATTTTGTTTTTCATTCTAGATGGTGCAACAAAATAATACAGCTGCACCCAACCAACTGAAATGGCACATGCAGAGAAAGGTGAAAATGAAAACATGTATTAACAACCTGCACATAACCTTGCTCCCCTGTCCAGCTATCATCTGGCTGAGACAATACTGGCACAATTTCGACTCCCGACGAAGTCCACTCTTTAAACCTTTCCTGCAAAATTAATAAAACTCAAATAAGAGACAGCTTGAAATGTAAATTGATAATATATAATCAAATATTTTTGCTCAGATACAGGAATAAATTCTCAACAATAAGCAAGAAACTAAATAATACCTGATATGCCATCCTACTAAGATTTCTAGCACCATAATAGAGCCTGACATCAGATCTCTTCTCCGCACCAAAACCTGATTCTAATAAAGACCGTATTGGGCTGCAGGTGAAAAGGTTGGAAGAAATAAATAAAACATGGATAAAGAAATATGCATGCAAATAGGTACACTAGAAAAGCAAAACAAGTTAACTTCCCATCTACAATAGCACAGGATGGAGATTCCCAATAAATAAGATCACAAATACAGGAAGCACAGAACAGAAAATGGCAGAAACCTTTCACTTAAACCACTCTAGTGAAATTGATGGAATTATGAGAGATCAGAAATCACCAATAGTCTATCAAATTGAATTAGGGCTTGCAGGAAGGTAAATGCACTATACCTGTACTCCGCAATCATTTTTCGCTGTTCCTATTCTTAAATGTTTTTACGAGATCATTCTATATTCTGAATTCTTTCTACACAAAAGACCAAAAGCATATTTAGCATGGAAATTGTTATATGAACATAACAGAATTGTCACTGATAACCATAACATAACAATGAAGCTATGGACTGCAGGTGACATACTACCATTTTGAAATTCAGTCATATTGAAATTTAATTTAACCAGCGTAAAAGATGAGCATCACTCACTACAACTTCTATCAAATCACTCTAAATCTCTGTCAAAATTTATTAATGAGTTGACCAAATATGGAAGACGAAAACAATACATGGGAACATTAATACATCAAAAGAAATGTGAAAAAGGTGTGCCTCATATATTTTTCAATAACAGGTGCATTGCAAGAAGATATATTAGCAACATAGATAAAAAGAATTACTACAGAACATAAATGTATTTACAGGACCAATCAAGGACTGACCATTGTGAGATGAATATTTCCTAATGCAACATCACAAAATTGATTCGACATACAGAAAGGTAATGTTTTCTAGACTTGTACAGAACCTTTTCAATACATTTTTTTCTTAGCGGTGGTTGCACTTGTGCAAGGATGTCCCTACCTAGTAAGGGGATAGTGTCTTTTTCTTGCTGCATTCAATAGATTGCTATTCTAGATTAATCGATAATCATATAGTGTTTTGCTGCTTGGATTTGGAGCCCCAATATGGAGATCATAGAAATTCTACTTAAATTGAATTGATTGGAATCCCTAGTCCTCATTCCAGTGCTCTCAAATATACTTTAATTCATATAATTACATTACAAATCGTGGAAAAAATTTTGAGAACCTAAGATACTATAAATGTTGTATGTGAGCATCCCAGAAGCTCAAATAAACCAGAACAAGACGCACCCAATTTAGTGGCTAATTCTGCTATAAATACTCAAGTAAAGAAAATATCACTCCTGCCGAAATTAAAAAAAGTAATCTGTATTCCCTAATTACACAAACAACTTCGTTTCCCTAACTTAAGAAGACAAAAAATAAAATAATTCGGACTCATTAAACCAAAATGCTTAGTTAATTTGATGAAATTTACCTAATTCCAGATCCAGTAGCGAAAATGAGTACTGTCTGATAATTCTCGGCCGGGGATATTTGATCAATATCAAATCCCTTACCCATTGCCTGACTCAATTCTACAATATCACCCTTCTGCAGCCCGCAAAGGATCTCCGCGGTGGACCCCGTGATGGATTTCACGAGGAACTCGAAAACTCCCTTCGACGCGGCGGTAGAAGGCGGGGACGCGATTGCGAGGAAGGAGGGTTTTGTATTGGGGTCCTGGAGGCGGAGCTGGAGGTACTGGCCAGCCTTCGTATAGGAGGAGGCGAGGTCCGGGGAATCAGAGACGTCGATGGCGATGTGGAAAAGAGACTCGGCAGCTGGGGAGACTTCTAACAGAGGAGTAGAGGTCCAGAGAGTGGTGTCTTGGCGGACGGCAGCGGCGGAGATAGTAAGGCCACGGCGGCGTAGGTGGTGGGAGAGGTGGCGGAGGGGTTTGAGTTTAGAGTGGGTCATCGGTGGGGTAATGAACGATTTGATGCGGTTCGGAGCATGGGAGCAAAGGTGGGCGGTTGGAAATGGCGATTGTGTAATAGCAGACATTTTGGAGGGCTTTTTATTAGTTTGAGTTGGTCGTAGAGGAGACTAGAAAGCGCCGCCGCGAAGGTTGGGGAAAGAGGGGACGAATTGGGTGACGAGTGTTAAAATGCGCCGTGAGTGAGTTTCATACCTGCTATAATGTTCCACGTGGCATTTCTTGATAAGTAGTGGGACCATTCTTGTGGTTTTCTAAAAAAATTGATAAATATTTCAAACCACAAAATTCACAATTTTTAATACAACGTCTGATGCTACCAAAAGTCGTACCTGTTTACTTCCGAGATCGACGATCGAGAATGAGCACGAAACGAGTCCTTCCGGTACCTGAAACAAAGGCGTCGATGTGCGTCATCGTCGCCCCTCCGATACTTAAGTCAGAGAGAGAATGTAGAGAGAAAGTATATGCAGCCAGTAATGTGTTAAAAAACGTACCTTAACAATGAATGATGGCGGTGTATTTATAGAGGTTGGTAGTTGACTCCTAGTAGGATTAGAACGCTGGGCTTCTTAGGAGACTTAGACTCCTAGTGTCATTAGGAGTCACTATTTAGTTGATATGGTATGTCTTGGGTGTTTGAATAGAGGCAGGCCTCTCTTTGTAGAATTCGTTCAAGATAGGACAGTCTATGATCAGTAGGGTTTCATTCTTGGGTTAGAGCCATGTCTCGAGGCATGGCAGATGTTCCTCGGGGTTTATCCAATCCCGAGGAATATTGCCCAAGTTGGGGGAGACATCCTCGGGGGTTACACTGCTCGGCTCGATCACTGTAAAATTTGGCATGATCAACGTCTTTCATGAAATTCACAATTTTTATCATTTTTCAATGAATCATGACGTAATTTGACAACTCACATTTCGCAACATTACATTCATTCATTTCAAAAACTATTTTTTAAATCGATAACTTGAATTTTGATAATACCAATATTGTTAATCATTGTATAATTGTATAAATAGCATAATTGTTTTTCAATAACATTTGTTATCATTTTTATGTAAATTTACTAAAAATTTAATTTTTGACAAACCAAACACATGTTTGCTATTTAAGTTAAAGAAATTTAAATCAAAGTTAACAATTAATATTAACGACACATTTCATGAAAACCAAAACTTTTGTCAAATTAACAATCATAGATTTTATCAACTTTCATTAAAATTTACTAAAAAATTAATTTTTTAGCTAAACCAAAATAGGGACTAAATATTATTAACCAATCGTTAGGAGATTCGAGAAATCCCTTCCACGATAACATAGAATTGAATCGACTACTAAGAGGATAATGCACAAAACAACATTACCATCAATAGTATAGATGACACAATTAGCTGCACGAGCAACAGTATACCTTAACTTAGAGATAGCAATTTTCCCCGCCCCGCCCAGCCCCGCCCCGCCCCATCCCGTCCCCGTGGGGCCCCGCCCCTCACAATTTTTAATACAACGTCTGATACTACCAAAAGTCGTACATGTTTACTTTCGAGATCGACGATCGAGAATGAGCATGAAACGAGTCCTTCCGATACCTGAAACAAAGGCGTCGAGGTGCGTCCTCGTCGCCCCTCCGATATTTAAGTCAGAGAGATAATGTAGAGAGAAAGTATATGCAGCCAGTAATGTGTTAAAAAATGTACCTTAACAATGAATGATGGCGGTGTATTTATAGAGGCTGGTAGTTGACTCCTAGTAGGATTAGAACGCTGGGCTTCTTAGAAGTCTTAGACTCCTAGTGTCATTAGGAGTCACTATTTAGTTGATATGGTATGTCTTGGGTGTTTGGATAGAGGCAAGACTCTCCTTGTAGAATTCGTTCAGGATAGGACAGTCTGTGATCAGTAGGGTTTCATTCCTGGGTTAGAGCCATGTATCGAGGCATGGCAGATGTTCCTCGGGGTTTATCCAATCCCGAGGAATATTGCCCGAGCTATCTTTGGCATTTTGGCGGAAAGTTGGGGGAGACATCCTAGGGGGTTACACTGCTCGGCTCGGTCACTGTAAAATTTGGCATGATCAACGTCTTTCATGAAATTCACAATTTTTTATCATTTTTCAATGAATCATGACGTAATTTGACAACTCACACTTCGCAACATTACATTCATTCATCTCAAAAACTATTTTTTAAATCGATAACTTGAATTTTGATAATACCAATATTGTTAATCATTGTATAAATAGCATAATTGTTTTTCAATAACATTTGTTATCATTTTTATGTAAATTTACTAAAAATTTAATTTTTGACAAACCAAACACAGGTTTGCCATTTAAGTTAAAGAAATTTAAATCAAAGTTAACAATTAATATTAACGACACATTTCATGAAAGCCAAAACTTTTGTCAAATTAACAATCACAGATTTTATCAACTTTCATTAAAATTTACTAAAAAATTAATTTTTTAGCTAAACCAAAATAGGGACTAAATATTATTAACCAATCGTTAGGAGATTCGAGAAATCCCTTCCACAATAACATAGAATTGAATCGACTACTAAGAGGATAATGCACAAAACAACATTACCATCAAGAGTATAGATGACACAATTAGCTGCACGAGCAAAAGTATACCTTAGCTTCTATGGTGACCTCTAGCAAGGATCTTTCATTGAAAATTGAACTCGACAGGATTAAAGAATAAAAGACCGTCGAAGATTGTATTAAAATGCACAAGATCAGTCTCATCGAGCCAAAGGCTTAAACTCCTACAATCGTGCAGAATGAAAACCACAAGTGAAAATGGATTATAGAAATCATGTCCCAATCGCAGCATCCAATACGATATTTGAGGGAAAAAAAAAATATACAAGTCCACCATCTTACCCCACTTATTATTTCACATGCTAAAACACGGGGGCTTGTCAGGGAGGCTCTCGACTCCACATCCGTATCACAATCCCGCTGTTCATGTAAAACATAAACAGAAAATTTGGAAAGAAAGTAAAACTCGAGATGTTGGCATTGCCACAAATTAAATTATTTGCAAATATCCGTAACATGATGAATTCATGGAAATTTTGATCTATCTAGGCAGCGGATTCCTTGGCAATCTTCTCCGCCTTGGCAATGACCTCTTCGATTCCTCCAACCATGTAAAATGATTGTTCTGAAAGGTCATCGTATTTTCCATCCAAGACTCCCTGTTTAACACAACCAACGGATGCATCAGCATCACAACTGATGAAAAAACAAGTTCACCAAAACAGACTTTCATGGTGAAGAAAGAAGAGAAGGTGAAGTTTACCAAAACGGACTTCCTAAGAGAGTAAATCAATTATCATAAAACAATGGAGAGACGTTAAAGTAAAATAGTATAACTTTTATACACCTACAGTTCATTTAAGTACATAGAGAACAGTATAAATAATATAGGAATAAGGAGAACAAGAATTGACATGCATGAACTGAAATCCCTATGAGTCCCACCATATACTTTTGTTGCTTGCAAATATATGTAGTACATTTACTCATCCCTTGATAGTGTGGATACCTTTGGGGCCAGATGATATTATAACACAATTTATTTATAGGGAAAGAGCATATATAGCATGAGCAGAAACTTTTGGTACCTGGAAGCTGTTAATGCTCTCCTTCAACTCGACATACTTGCCAGGGGCACCCGTGAAAACTTCTGCAACATGGAAAGGCTGGCTCAAGAACCGTTGAATTTTCCTAGCACGTGCAACAGTCAATTTGTCGTCTTCACTGAGCTCATCCATTCCAAGAATGGCAATAATATCTTGAAGATTCTTATAGTTCTGAAGAACTTTCTGTACACCACGGGCTGTGTTGTAATGTTCTTCTCCCAAGATGTGAGGGGAAAGCATACGAGATGTTGAGTCAAGTGGATCGACGGCAGGATAGATACCAAGCTCAGAAATCTAATCCAAAAACGACAATTGAAAGAAACAGCCAAAAAATTATGGGGTGAAAAGATGTCTTTTTATGTAACTTCAAGAAAGTCTATGTACCTGTCTTGACAACACAGTTGTGGCATCCAAGTGAGCAAAGGTGGTTGCAGGAGCTGGATCTGTCAAGTCATCAGCAGGCACATAGATAGCTTGAACAGACGTAATGGAACCCTTTTTAGTTGTCGTGATACGTTCTTGAAGGCCTCCAAGATCTGTAGCCAATGTAGGTTGATAACCGACAGCAGATGGGATACGCCCAAGTAAAGCAGACACTTCAGAATTGGCCTGCAATTTTTCAAGAAATTAGAATTATTAGCAAGTGGTGATTCAAACACGAGAGTACCTGTTCAACAATGATCATAAAATGCATTCCTACCTGAGTAAAGCGGAAAATGTTGTCAATAAAGAGAAGCACATCTTGCCCTTCAGCATCTCGGAAGTGTTCAGCCACAGTCAGTCCAGTAAGTCCAACACGAGCACGAGCACCCGGGGGCTCATTCATTTGACCATAGACTAGAGCGCATTTGCTATCAGCCTGGTAAAATTAGTTGATGAAGTATAAGGAACCCACAGAAACAGGATAAAATAAATAGAACGGTGACAAAAATAAATACATACAAACCTGCTTATCACCTAGCTTAATGACACCACTCTCTATCATTTCTCTGTACAAGTCATTACCCTCCCGAGTACGTTCTCCTACACCAGCAAAGACGGAGAAACCACCTGACAAGGGGGAACAAACAACATTTAGAATCAGGCTTTAAGCATATCGGCGCTCAAAAAAAAAAATAACACAGAAACAAAAACTAACCATGAGCTTTTGCAACGTTGTTAATCAGTTCCATGATAAGTACGGTCTTTCCCACCCCAGCACCACCAAAGAGCCCAATCTTCCCTCCTCTTTGGTATGGGGCAAGAAGGTCGACAACCTGGGATAACATGCAACAGTGTTAACATAATATAATAAAACCAGATGAACTTGAATGCATGTGAGAAGCAGGTGAATGCGAATGACAATTGTTGGGATTTATGAAAATTACCTTGATGCCAGTGACTAGAATTTGTTGTTCGGTTGCTTGCTCCACAAA